CAACCCCTTCTAAACAGGTACCACACAAAAGTAATCGAAAGGTGACGAAAAATCCCAATGGGTATTTGCACCGAAAATATATACTGTGCCGTCGCAGCTTGTTTGTTTCCATATATCCTATTGAAAAACAACAACAAATACACGAAGCAATGAATAGAACCAGCGTAAAAGCTGATTTAACCACAATTATCACATCACCTTTCAACTAAGTTTCAGTGTCTATATTTCAATATCTGCTTAGTATTCCAAACGAATGCGTCACGTTTTAAATCCTTACTACTTCTTATAGTGTTACCATACACGCTATTACTGTTCTAAAGTCCAGCACTTTACCTGGGGCCTAACCAGATAGCATTTACAAGCTACTCTTTCAGCACAAACAAAAGGCCTGATTGAAAATAATTATTTCCATCATTAGCTGTACTGATAGCCATATGTATTCCTACTATCATATTTGAACGTTGAGATATAACTGATATTATCATTTCTATAATAATTCTCTAACACCATATCTTTATTGTAAAGGATACTATATAGTCCTAAACGGCACCAACAGACGACAGAATATGACGTTCATTTAATGTGTACATAGCATGTATGTAGTCTCACTTGCCCCCGTACGAACACCGACAGCGAGGGGTTTTCAACTGCGACGCGTTCTCAACGATAGGTTGTCATCTTCGATATCAGAGACTGTTCTCGCGGGAACTCTTTAGCACTGAGTGACTTAAAGACGGATCTTGGTATAGACAGTCGCTAATGGTTGTGGAGACAAACGAGACGTTATTTTTCAGCCAGTTTAGCTGTATGGTTCATGAAGTATTTTCTTGGCGACGCTCTCAATACAGAATACCTTAATGAAATCGACTTCGAACTGGGAGCATACAGATGAACTTACAGGTGCAGGTATCTTTTACGCCCGCCGATATCTGACATCGATCCCTTGTTGACGCAGTATCAACGTTATTCAGATATTCAAAATTTAACTTTATTGACAATCGTTCCGACAAACAGAGCATCCTCAAGGAAGAGCTAGCTGTAAGTCCGATACATAGCTAGCTTTCGAGGGTTCCTGCCCAACGACAATTCGCGAGCTAAAACAGGAGGCTGACCTCGATAATTACTGCAAATTCGTCGTGGGGTTTAAGGGATTGTTCATGCAAGCAATCTGTATAATAGGCATTAACTTGCACCGTTGAAATATACGTATTTATTTAAAATATATTAAAGACAAATGACAAATAATCTAGATGGACTATTTGAAATGTGAAATTTCAACTAAATACACTTCAGTTTATGCCACATTCGATTTATGACGTCTTGACTAGTCAATTTTATATTAGGTATAGATTACCACGAGTGAAATAAAAAAAAAAAAAAAAAAAACTCATATTTAAGAATCCCTTACCCTTCCGGGTCTTGGGTCGATCCTGATCTACATATAAAAGAATTTTAAACGTTTGAGGGAAATAGAGGAACAGAAATGGTTAAAGTATGTCAGCCTAACCTAAAATGGTTTTTTTATTTCTTTCTCGAAACACCAACCGTGTTACTTACACGATATGTGCCTCTGCTGTCTACAACTAGAATACGGGGAATCACCCCTTAATGTAAGGCCACTCCGCGTGAATCCAGTAACCCATAGCGATCGCGCTCTCAGACAAGCCAAAATCTACTGACGATAAAATGGCGTAAATCTTGCCTAGCACCCTTTCAAACAAAGTTGACCCTCTTATGGGTTTTATCTAAAAGCTCGTTTTACTCCTAATTCCATTAACATGGGACATCACACAAACACCTTAGATAGGCTGCCTAGAAGAACATACATTTCTATTTGCTACAGGAACCCGCATCAATAAATATCTTTGAGAATGGGGGCTATCACTTAAAGTTAACTGGCAACATAACAGTACACTGTGAAACTGATGAACGTAGCCGCTAACAGAGTCGATAGCTTGGGCCTTGCACCTGATTAAGGCATTCTTTAACGATTTAATTGCTCTCCATGCAGATCCAGCTACACATTAAACTATCAAACGCTCAAAGGCCAACCAGTTTTTATGGTCAGTAATTTCGTAGTAAAGAGATTGAAACAGAAACGTTATACCTACTGTTTCCGCTTGGCAACGCTGCGTCAGTAAAACCCAACAGTATGTATGTATGTATAAATATAAATTTTCCAGTGGACTCTAACATAACGAGTTTCAGAGGATTTACCAATTCGTACTGATGCTTACGTAATATAGGTCATGTAGAATTAAGTTTAAAGTTAGGTGGATCATTACAGAATGATTGCCGTCCGTTTCGCGGAAGCCACTATAGATATCTTTTCATCAATAGATAAAATCTAGTTTGTATCTTACTCAAGCTACTGTTAACGGTTCTTCACCACAGCACATGCACGGGCCTGCAACTAAAACAAAGTCACGAAGCCCTCAATTTTTATCATTTACGTTCTGTTATCCACAAAATAACATAGGGGCTTAAGCTGAATTGAAGTCTGTACAAGTAGGTTAGGCCTTATGAACGAAATCTAATGATCCGGTAGGAACACACTACTGCAACACATCTCGACATGATCTATGAAGTTGTCTTTGTTCAATTTCACGCTCCCGTTTCGGCGCGCCGTATTCCACGAATAGCCTCGTTAGGAGCGAAATACACTTGGAACAGATACCTTGCCTAGTTCAGATTCGGCAAACTCTACGCTTATTCGAAATAGCACAACACAGTGTATCATAGAAGGATACAACTGGAAAACACGATATTTTTGTTGTCATGTTGTTGACTTGCCCATTGGTGTCCTGTCACATGTCGTAACATCGACGACAACATCAAGAACATAAGAACAGTGGCCTGATGGGTGATACAGTCTAGTGGAACGCTATATTGCCTACAGAGGCGAAAAAGAAAGCTATTGACCCCCCCAAAGGGACGCTGTAGTTTATGCAGCTGGCTTGCTACTATTACGCTGTTCTGCTTCTGGCCAGTCGTGCGGCAGACGACTTTCTCATGTTGGTGTTCGCGCATGTTTTCAAAATTTGCGCACCTGTTTCTCGTCTGCTATTACAGGCTTATGCTATGAAATTTTGAAGGATGCGCGTACATTAATCGAAGACAAATTGTGTGGCACGTTTGCGTATTACATAGGCAATAGGAAAATAAGGCCTAAGATCGCGAGACGATAAGGATGCTTGCTAGACAGGAAGACCACTTAATCGATACGAAATGTGCGGTAAATGCTACAAAGGATGGTTAGTGACGACACGTGTAGGAAGGTCCACATATCGAACTGGTTGTTTGGTTCGAAATCCAATAATGACTGAGATTGCATTCAAGAGATCTGAGCGCAATGCGCTCACTATTAGAAAAGTTGAATACTCGAATGGCGCTCACTTGACTGATTCGTACATCCTTACTTATTACATAGATTAGCAAAATTGCTAAACAGCTAAATAAATGTTATTACTTCCGTTTAATTTCAGCGCGTCTGTATTACTCTGTTAATAGGTTCAAAATGTGTATATGCCAACGCATAGTATAAACTGCTAAATGTTGCTGCGATAAAAAATAATTTGTTCGAACTAAGTTAAGAACGAAAATTTTTTTTGTGTGTGCCTTCCTTATTCTAAACAACAAAATGCCTTCAACACATCGATTGTTCCCACGGAGGCTATAATTTGGTTGCTGAAGGCATCAACAGATCAGTCATTTTGTGGCCGACACAACCAGCGCTGCAATAGGTTATACCGTGTATCCTCGCCGATTATTATGACAAACCTTAGATATAGCGATATAGATGCTGGGGTTACATGATTGCAAATATAATATTGGCCCGATTCTATACATCATACTAAATTAAGGTCTAGGTTAGGGTGCGAACAACGGGTTTTAACAACGGGTTATTGGCAATGGGTGGACCATGCTAAGCCACTACTCGATCCATGGACGAACAAAACCATAGATGAATTCATTCAAGTTTTCCAAAAGCGTTTCGAAGCTCATACGGGTTATGTTAAGGCAAGTTGGCCCTTTTTGAACACGATCCCTCCGGAAGCGCGAATCGGGCTTTGTTCATTAGTAATAAACAAGCGCTTGATAAGAGATATGGTTTTCTCGCGCAGCTTTACGTATATCAGCCCAGTGACTGACCGGTTTCGGCGACAACAACAACAACCACAGTAAACGGTAGCCACTAGCCCAGTTTCGAACTGTTATGTGAGTTGAAATATTTGTAGTCTTCTATGTATGGGCTTAGTTGTGCTATTAACACAAAACGAGTTCCTCTTCATATATACTAACGATCAACAAGTCGGCTTATTTCGCTGTCTTTTTCGCTTTGGAACCAAGGGTTTACGATTTAGAGATAGAAGCCTGTGGATAGGATATTTAGGACTATTTTTAGGCCATCGGTTGATTTGGTGTTTTTGTATTGCACGGCGCCACAATTAGAAACAATGGAGTTACTGGCTAAACTTATCTTCTGAGCGGATTTGCATGCCACAGGCAATGCAGGAATCGCCCCGCTACAAACTGGGGGACGGCACTACTTGTGCTTGCACAGCAGCAAGTACATGTGGTGCCGTTTGTGGTAGGCACAATTTGTTCTGAGAATATCGTGCAGCGTGCTTAGTCTAGGAAAACTCATAGTAATAGAGGGTGTTTTCATGCTTTTTTCCTTTCAGATGAAAACATTCACAGCAAAGGGAAAAATGAACCTAACCAATCGCAATGAAAAAAAACTCCACTCATACCAATAATCCGTGCGTAATAAATTACAAATTGTTTTTATAATGGCAAGAATCCTCGTCCGTTCCACTGACCTGAGTAAAGCACTGAACAGGAAAAGTATACATCAAACTATCTTTCAACGTAAATATTCAAAAAGTAACTAGCCATTAGTAAATATACAACAGACGAATTGTATCATACGTCTTCAACACGCACGGCCTGGAATATTATTAGAGTATGGGCCATTCCGTTTATGTCGATAAGACTACCTGTTGTTATACATGTCCTAACTGGACAGTTTGACTTTGTCAAGCATCGGGACCGTTCAGGTAGGCGGCATTAATTGTTGACAGCTTTTCCCACTCCTTTCCGCTGCAAGGACACATTCATTGCAGTGACAAGATCGTTATAAGAAAACGATTAGGGTTTATCTTCTCGTAAACTACCACAGCGTAGAAAGATACAAACTCGAATACTCCTGCATGAGCAATTGGTTCGTCGTGTTATCTTAAATATAATATCTATTTTTTTTTTTTACACGAGTATTATTATCGCCTGAAATCTACCGTATAGTCAATCACCCTCTCTATCCCAAATTCTATTAAATTTTTAAATTTAGGTAGAGTTATTGATATCGATAACATATTTTCTAGTGCATCCGGCTATATAGAAAAAACAAGATTAGCTAAACACGATAATACAGGTTTGCAACAGAATTCAGTAGGGCTATAACTATGTACCGTTCTTCCTTAATTTACTTTCTTCTCAGGTGACATCGTTAAGTACTATCAACATGAATTGTGTATACTTCTGCACAGCTTACACAATTAATTCTCTGTCGATTTATTTAACGATTTTAGGTTACATCCTCAAGCATTTCGGCAGCATATTGTAGTTCTGGGAACGACCCACTTAACCCCGAGTGTTTCAAATGTACTACGAAGATGTCTGGCGATGTAGATAACCACTTTCACTTTGATTGCAGACCACCCTTAATAGGGAAGCTGGAAATTTTAACCACTTCATCTTGGGTCGTCCAGCTTATCGCTTAGATTTGACTATACGACGTTCAGGAAAATCTTCGTCATTGGCTCTATGTTTCTGAGATATACCTATTTCAGACGATAAATGGGGTCGTAGTGTGATACCTACCTCTTTTTTGGCGGAAGCTAAACCGAAATTTGCGAGACCGTCTGGCAAAGAGTACACTCATTCTATGTCAAACTTTTCCCGAATATAGCTCAATAAGCGTTGGTCACTTATTCTTGAGCTCCAGAGCTCTTTCACCTAACAAACTGATGCCTTGAAAAAGGCCCGAATGAATGATGTTTTCCGTTCCATTTAATCTGCTTGTTAGATTGACTACACAGTTCAAAACTCGGATTTGGTACGAGGTGAGACACTGTCGTGTGGTGACTCGGTTAAAAAGCAGGCACGGCATAAATGCACTCCCCCATTATCTCGAATGGTGAAGCAGATTAGATCTAGGTGAGGGGGCTAGCCCAAAATTAGATAGGGAGCACTTGAAGCCAAGAGGGTCCAGAGATCCCTGTACCATCCGCTATATAGTACAGCAATAATAAGCACACACAGGTCGTTGAGTCTTTATAGTGTATGATCCATAGGGGGATTTATATAGGTGGACTGAAGATGCCATCAGACAGCACGTATTAATTTAGCATATTTTCAATACAGCTCTGTACCACATACATATTATGTGTATATATACAGCGTGGGGCAAAAACATCTTGGTACTTTTGATTTTTCTCGCTGATCTAAAGATCGAACTTCACTATCGGAATTAATATTAGTCTGCAACTACAAAACATATACACTGGTCCTGCGTGCTTGTGGAAGCTATATGTCATGCACACCAAATAAAAGAAGTCACGGGTAGCAAAGCTTTGTTGATATGCTTGTTGGCTATATTTTAGGCACTTCATTTCTTGGGGGTCAAATAGAATGAGGGATTTATCTTTAGTGTTCAGCACTTGTCTGGCGGTCGTGATGAACTCCGGTGTTTCAAAACGACAAAATCTCTTCGAGAACTCTTCGACAACAGTGGGCCCCTGTGATCAGATCTGATGAGCAATCGAAATACACGATACCTATAATCCTATCAAAACAGCTATTTCGTTTGTCGGCTATATCAGAAGCGTTTAAACAGTCATAATAATTACCGCAGCAACATAGAAATATAATACGACGGTATGACCAGTTGTATCTTTAAAATTAAATGTTTCACCCAACATCCAATTAGCATTTCTCATATATCGCTTACAGATAGGAGATCAGACAATTTGCCCAAGCAGCATCTTGTAAGAAGGAAAGAATATATAAAACTCTTTTAGTTTTTCTTACGTAGACGAAACAGCTACCGCAGCTGGACTTCCGTAATTGTATTTACTAAGCGAAGTGTTCTTCTGTTTATTGTTATTATCGTCTGGACATTTTCTCCTGCTATTGCAGTGTTCCAGATTCAATCACATCGAAAAATGGTGGTTAGAAAAGCTCTACCTTTAGAAATGGTGCGCCATCTTAGGAGGTCCCATCATTGTAATTACTAGATAGCAACATTATAACTGCCTATAATAAAATATGAAATTATATGCTCTAACTTTATTTTCTATGGAATCAAGCGCGTTGTAACTGAGTCAGCGGCCTTTTAATGTTGAAGACGTGTTTTCGTGAAAACGACCGTGGCCCATGTTACACATACACGTGCACAGAATCTGTCCACTATATGAATTGCTTCGTTAAACTGTTTTAATCGGTGAATAAAGCCAGTCTCAGCCACTGGCGATGGTTATGTTTACCGGAGCGTAGTATTTTAACAATAATAATAGCCTCACAGGCTGAGATTTAGATCGCTGCACAGGCTAAGTACGACGCCGTTATATAGAGCTATCGTCTGGAATACAAGAAAAAAAAAAAAAGGTAAAAACGCGCCTTTCGAACCAGGTCTCTTTGTGTTTCCGCGCCAATAATTTTCGATGCGGCAGCATCGGAGAACAGATTACGCACAAAAGCTCGAATGATATATATATATATATGATCTCGCTATTATCCTTATTGTCGCCTGCTGCTGCTGCTGCTGCTGCTTTGTTGTTGTTGTTGTCGTCTTGCTATCTTTGAAAGCGTGCAGATCTTGGACATCGTTTTTGGCCCTGCAGCTCTGATTTAGACGTGTGGCCTTCCAATGATACTGCTCTAACTGTGTCAAACCGCGTAATCGAATTCGACTCTGTTCCCGGAAATCGTTTTCTAGGAAATTCAATAATGCTATCGAACGTATCTCTGAAACTCATGTTTATCATTGATAAAAGTAGTGAGTATTGATAGATAGTTCAATGAAGAAGGAAAAATCCGCGAATCTTTGGAGAGCAGTTTGATCAGGGTGCAACAAAAGCCGTTTACCGTATAACGGTACTATTTATTCCTTAGGATGTATATTCTATCGCCAAAAAAAAAGCAGTAGAAACTTTGTCCGGTATCATCTGGTGTATTTTATTTATAAAGCTTGTCTGCAACTCAGCGGCAGATGAGCGGCAATACGCCAATTATGCGATTATTTTGTCCATATTATCAACTGAAGAACTAAGCTCGCTAGTGAAGATACAATAGACGCTCACGCCAATACAGAGTTTAATTTCGAGTGCTAAAAGGGAGCGTTTCCATATAAATACCCATGCATGATTAGTCTGTCGTGCTTTCTGTGTGTTCGTTATAGGCTCTTGTGCACGAAAGTGCCTTTGACCCGGTATAGTTAACCAAGTGCATGGTTCATCTATGCTTCGGTATCAACATGTTTTTTTCTGAAAGAGACCCATTAATAACTAGGGCATTGACGCTCGCTTCCAAAGCTCCTTCTACAATAGTGCATGAAAGAAATTCCTATTTTACTAGATAGTACCTAGCGTCAAAAACGTGTTGACACCGCTTATCCACAAACAGGCTGTACCACTGGAAAGTTTCCATATGTTGGCAATGTCGGGAAGGCATACAGGCAAGTTGGGGGACCAAGCGTGCGCACCTGACAGCTTCCGCTGTAGTTGAGTCCAGTAACTTCTAGGACCGGAAGTTACAAGACAATTCAGGCCTAACGCCGGCAAATTAACGACTACAAAAACAATTACATATTACTGATTTTCCATTACGACCAGAGCTTCGCCAGCCTGTCACCAATCGAAAAGAGCACAACCATTCTTTCTCATGTTAGCTTTGTGATCCATCTCTTGCGTGGGCAAATATGCGGTATGAACACTGACGAGCTCTGGGATGGCGCGCTGGGAAGTGACCTGACAGAATACACTGTTCCATAGACAGTGGAAGTAGACAGAAGCCGATCAACAGTGTTTCTAGTAATCAAACGAATGCGATTGTACGGAAAAACACAAACTTTCGTTTTGGCTTGAATCGCCTATGCTAATATCAACAATCGCCTAAGATCCCTAGCCAAGGGGGTGCAGATAAAAGATCGATTATTGTTGAGTAAGTCGTCTTTCGTTAGAACGATCCCCGCGTGCTGGCGCAGCTAGGAAGTTCGACTTTCTGTCTCATGTTATATGTTGCAATAAATGGTGATGTACGGGGGGGTCGATTTTTCCATGAAAATGCTATAACCTATTCGTCCCAGTTAATTATAATAGTGCATATCGTATAAGTATGACCAGGGCTTCTAGCATCTCTTTTATAATTATATAATTCATGGAAAATTTCTTACGGCATGCCATAAGCATGCCGTAAAATTATTTAATGCTTACGGCAAAATTAAATAATAATTAAGGAAAAAAAATCTACCTTGATCCGGTTCTCTCATGTTGACCTCGTTAACCTTTCGGGAGCCGCTTGCATGTTGCGAATGAACAAGGAAAGTCCTGATCCGAGTGAAATTATTTGATGGTAGAAGGAACGATGTTGGCCAAGCTATCAACGTAATAACAAAAACTGTGCTCACTAAACAGTAGCAAAGAAGTACTAGGGAAAATGAACCCTGCAGGAAACACAAGTGACTTAAGGGCTGTAGGCTCAAATAGGCGTAATATCAAATTCACGTAAGCGTTTGTAAAGACTGTTGATTGTAGCAGGCTTAACATGTTCGCCTCGCACGGACTATTGTTAGGTTAACAATGGTCAAGCGCTTGAATCGTTGCATAGATTTGTCATCATCTTTCTTCTGCAATAGAAACTGTAAAACTTATGGGATAGGTTACTCAATGGACAACGACCCATTTATGGGATACAAATTGATGTCGGATCTCAGACACGTATATTTCAACTAGCATTACATTACGTGTCAAGCAAGAAAAGTACTTACGAACGGCGCTAGGTGACTACAGCGCTCGTAACGATACTGATACCAGCATAAAGACGTGGTGCATCGTGTTCTCTTATAGTCATAGATTACAAGTGTATTTTTTAGAAATATCTAAACTTCACAAAAACTTACTATTGGCCTATATTCACACACTATTTCGACGGTTTAAGGAACATATGCGTAGAGGTATTTGAGTGAGCGCAATCGTTATTTACAAATATATGAAATAGAACGAATAGACCATACAAACATATGGAATAGAAAAGTTTCATTAACATTTTCCTAATCTACGATTATTAATGATAATAATAATAATAATAATAATAAATTACATTTAAGTCAATTACGGCGAAGCACGCGGATTGCGTACGTGGGAAGATACTGTATGAAGGCGTGTCTGACCATATCTGAGCCAGTTCTCCTTCGAACTAACGAAAGGCTAATTCCACAATCGGCGGCACTATGTTTTTACATCTAAATACTCTGAATGTGATACTATCACATAATGGTTAACTAACGAATGATTACCATATGCATGCGCTTCCATGTTTTCAGCTAGTCTGTAAGAACAACTTGATAACTTGTCCCTATGAAAACAGGGTAAGTGCTAGCAATTATTCCGTTCTGTCTTGCCGAGGAAGCATCTTTACAAGTCGCTTCGTACGACAGCAAGCCTAGTTGACGGGGTCGCGACTTTCACAGTCGCTGGACCTTAAGGTCTTCCAAAATTGTGGTAACGCACAACCAGCACCTTGGTCAGAATGGAAGTCTTGATGTGTTTGCCAAACACCTATGGTAGAATCCCTTAGGCATGCCAACAATACTAGAAGGCTTCTCAGTTTAATTTTGCTATAGCAATGGACTCCCGTTGCTTAGCAGACGCGATGACCTATCAAATCGCTGGCTCTACTCTGGCTGCCGTTTGCCCTCCGCTTTGAGCGCTCTAGATGGCGTTAGCTTCGTGGCAGGACCTAGGGCATGATCCTCGTTCAGTGGAAGTGCGTATTCTCCGTTTACTTAACTCGACCAGGCATACTAAACGTAGGTCAGGTTGTATC